CTGGGTGGTTCTGGGAGCTTAGTCCCCAGCTTGGGTTTCCCTGCGTAGCACCACCCGGCCCCAACCGAAACTAAACTCCAAACTCCTCCCGCTGCTCCTCTCCTTTGTTCAGTCTCCCGGGCAGAAGGTGTTAATTCTCCCCACCCCCGTTCCTGGCTCAGGTTACAGCTCAGGTAGCTTCCTTCAAGGGAAGTCCCCCCTCCTCACTGCAATCCCCCTGCAACATTCCCAGGTCAAATCTGCCCTGCTCCGTCACAGTACCTTGGAGAGTGTTTCCCAGTATGGGTAGTCCCATCCTAGCTTGCAGGGAAATGATCTACCTGGTGCATGACACACCCTCAGGAGGACATCCAGGGGTAGACAGAACCATGCAGCGCCTCACCTCAGTGGGTTGGTGGCCGTGCACGAAGGCAAATGTGCAACAATACAGTGAAAATTGTTTGGTCTGTGCACAGAACAATCCTCTCCTCACAAAAAGAAATGCTCCCTTAAGAGTGTCTATGGCAAGCTTTGCAAATTGCTTTTGTGGGACCCTTGCAGAAGGCTCAAAGAGGAAACCAATGCCCTCTGCTCCAGTCTCCAAATGGTGGCAGCATTTCCTTTGAAAGCAAACACTGCCTTAGCTACACCAAAGATCTTAGTGGAACAAGTCTCCTCTTGCTGGCGACTCCCTGCTGGGGAACAGTCAGACAGAGGAACATGTTATTGGGCAAGTGTTCCAAAAACGTGTACAGTTGTTGGGAGTGCAACAAAAACGGCACCTTCCATACAGGCCTCAGTCGCCAGGGATGGCAGAGCGAACAAATCACACCATCAAACTCATGCCGTGGAAACTGGTAGATGCCAATGGACACAATTCGGACACCCTGATTCCACTCATTTTAATGTCACTCAGGGCAACTCCCCCGGCCTCCACAGACCATAAACCCTTTGAGGTGATGACTAGGCGAATGCCAGAGCATCTTTTGTGGCATGCCAGTGGCTCACAGCTAGAGGGAGTGAAAGTCGAAACCTTTCTGCAAGCACTACAAAAACATTGGAATCAGATTCACTTGCAGGTAGCCATCAAACTGGGGAAATCCAGACGGAAGGCAAAAGCCTATTTTGATAAAAGCCAAAGAGAGAAAACTTGGGTCTCCAGTTTCCCAAGCAACGCTCCTATCATATGCTGCACCTGAACACAACTTACGTAGCCGATGGACTGAGCCAAATGTGGATAGACTCGGTGCCGCTGTATACAAAATTAGAATCTCACATGGGAGCAGAAAATTAGATCAGTTGAAATTGTACCGGAAAAGAGAGATTTCTCCACAGGTGTAGATAAATCTCTGATAATTTTCATATGACTTTACATTGTGCCTCTTCATATAACCTTGTGGTGGGTCTACCCACGTGTGACCTCTGTTTTCATGGGACTTTGTATCAAAGCCTCATTTAGAAACATCTGTGTTCAGTGTTCTGTGTAGCATGTTCTGTGTCTGTCTCTAGTGGTGTCCTGTGCTAGCATTGGGTCCAGAGAGAGAGGGGATACTACACTAGACAGGGCAAATGTCTTTTCCTTTCTCTTCTTCCCCCATCTCCATCCAATTTATCAATCACCCCTTGTGTCCAAAAGACTTTGGTCCCCAGTGCATCAGGTTTATTTTTTGTTAGGTTCTCTGATAGTCATTTTATTGTTAATTTTTGTTCTTGATA